GCTTTTAGCAAATGGGGGTTTAGCCTTGCAATTTGGACTTCTGCATGGGTTACTTCAGGACTTCAGGCTACCACAATACCCTAAACCCTAAACCCTAAACCCTAAAAACTAAACCCTAAACCCTAAACCTCAGAACCCTAAACCCTAAACCCCAAACCTCAACCCCTAACCCCTAAACCCTGAACCCTAAGCCCTAAACCCTTAACCTCCCAGCGCCTCCAAGCAGCAACAGTTGTCTCTTGCTCGGGTTTGATGAAGAAGGGGCTTTCGTGAAAGATACTACGTTAGAGATGCCAGGGTTTCGGGCTCTACTTGGGCTTGTCTACAGAACAACATGGTGACGTACAGAAGGCTACACCGAGTGATCGCCTTGTGATGACAAGGACATTACGAGGAGGACTGCGCAGATTGTTCTTGCAAGAGTAGATTTATAGGGTTCGGGTGGGCGGGGTCTTGCAAACAAATGAGATCAAGGACTGGCGCTGGCCAGAAATGCGGCAAGGAAGGGACATCTACTCAATGCGGTCTTTCTTGCATCACAGCTCATACGGGCAAGTGCTTCCGGTCTCCTGCTCATGCAACCGCCAAAGCCACAACAAACACTGCTTGACAGAGTACTCTTCTGATTGCTGGTCGTGATACACCATGGAAAAGCTTTTCGGCCCTTCCGACTGTCGAGGGTATGTCACCCGCCATCTCTTAGCCAGCTTGAGCTCCCTGGCCACTGTAATCTTAGGAAGATCAGGAATCCACTTCCGAACATCAGAGGCTTCGAAAGCTTTCCAGTCGATAGCGAGCTGCTGTTTCCGAGTACTGGTGGCTTGCTTGCTGGAAGCACTCTTGGCACATGCTGCCTTCGGCGTTGCTGGCGCTAGTAACGAAGCCAAAGGAGCGGTTTCGTGCGGCTGCTCTGCTGGAACTTTGCACTGCTTTGTCTTGCGCTTCTCCTCCTTGCACTTTTCGGCATCGTCGTCATCCATGAACTCTGCAGCGAGGTCCAGATTGTGCTCGTTACTGGTGATGATGCTGCTTAAGTTCCGGATGCTTGTCGTGTCTCGCTGTGCACAGTACGCTCGCAGATCGGCCTCAGAGGCCCGAGGCCAAACATGCTTCGTAAGTGCCATCAGCAAATCCGCCAGGAGAGTAGGTTTCTTCCCGGAGGACTGCACACCCAGTTTTGTAAACAGCTTTCCTAAATGGAATACTGTGAGGCCTTTGAAACCGGCCTTGCTGGCACTTTGAAGGAGCGTCTCGGTGGAGCCCAGCTGCAAGAGTATTCCGCTTGGCGCGGCTGGCGACATTTTCTTGCTTCTCACATGCAGCGGCGAGCGAACATTGATTTTGGCCGAGCTCCACCCGTTAGGCGTAGTGATAAGCACATGTCTGAGATTGTCTTGGCCGTCAAGCTTCAAGGAAAAGAATTTGAAATTCTGTGTACCGCCGGCTCTTTCGGCAATGACTCTCCAGCCCAGGACGCCCCAAGAAGTTGCTTTCAAAACGAACACTGCGTCAGCAGGAGCTCGCGATGACCACAACACAGTGCCCGGCTGTGCCAGCAACGACACCCAGCAGACTTTCAAGTCGGCTGGATCTGCGAAGGTTTCCATGGCTTTTGTCGCCCAGGCAACCAGGCTGTGAGCATTGGGGTTCAAGGAGGCCCAGTCATCCTCGCAGGCCATCTCCTGCAGGCCAGCTTTGCCACCAAGACTGAACTTGGACGCGTCTGTGCCTTTGAACAAAGTCGGAGGGAGCTTTTTGGGAGCATCCTGCTCAATGGCGGGGCTTGTGGGTGGAGGACTGTAGCCAAGCCCATGCAGCAGCTCCCCTCTCACAAGAGTCTGCCACATGTGAAGCTTCTCTACTTTGGCAGACTTGACCTTCCGACCATCATCAGACAACTCGTTGAAGCACTCCTCCACGGTCTTCGTGTGTAGCAAGCCGGAAAACAGTGTTTGCAGGTGCTGGCTCAAAAACTCAGGCACTGTCCACCGATGTTCTTCTAGGGTAATGAAGACACCCCGGATGCTTGGTAAAGCAGCCCAGGTCAAGCTCTTTTTGAAGGAAAGAAACCATGTGTCGGCAAGCGCCAGCTTCTCCACACTCATCAAACGCTGCCACAGGCCTTCCAGCCGCTTCAAGGCTTTGTCTCTCTGCGACAAGTCATCGTGCAGGAGTGGAAGAAAAACAAATGGTGGCGAATCGGTGTACTCGGCCATGCTGTACGCACGCTGCCCAGTGACTGCTTGAGCAAGCAGCACCATGCGAGCAGCCAGCTCGTCCTCTTCGTCCAGCGCTCTGGCAAGTGCTTCCTCATCATGCTCAGGCTCGAAACCGCAGCGCTGCAGTGCATCGCGGCTGCGAAGTGTCTGCCAGACTTCTGCAAGAACTTGTTGGGGCACGTTGCAAGAGTAGGCGAGGGTCTCGGTGAAGGGCCCGTCCGGTCCCTTCTGCATTCTGGCCATGGATTGCCCCAACCACGCTCTCACAGGACTGCCCACCTCTAGCACCATGTTGAACATACGCTCTGTGGTCTGGTTGGCCATGATGATGGTTGCAAGCTCCAAGCCATTGCGACACTTCTGCCTCAGATGCTGTATCTGCTCATTGGAATTTTTGACAGATTTGCTGCTTGAGCCACCGGCATCTTGTCCGGAAGCCTGGCCCTCGCGTGTCACCAAGCCAGCAAGCGCCAGGTCCTCAGGACTGACTTCCAGCAATGGGCTGTCCTGTACGCTTGGCCACCAGCCTGCGCGCCAGCCGAAGTGCAGAAGGGTCATCAGCCGGCAGTGCCAGTTCTTTCGGAATTCCATTCCCGCGTCCCAAAAGCTTCCCCACCGTGCCCACTTCACTGCTTCGCCCTTTCTCTCTACAGATGCATCGTGACACAATTCCGCAAAAAGTTTTGCCATGTGCGCTGCTGTTCCTACCTCCAAGTCCCCGCTGAGGCCACGCTCGGCGACGATGCCTGGGTAGCAATGGAGGAAGAAAGGATTGTTGAAGTCGCTGAACTTCTGCAGGTCGTCCATGCTGTCCTGCATCTGTCCAAAGAAAGCAGCCTTCTCGAAGGGTCCACTGCGAACGTTCATGCACACAGTCATCTCGCGAATCACTGGCCAAAAATTGGCCTCCACCATGCTGGCACGAAGATCATTCCAGCATCTGTGCCAGGGATCGTGAGCGTAGTAGCCACACAACCCGCAGTGCTGGAACAAAAACTGCACTGCTGGCCATCCAACCGAGCCTTGATCAATGCAAATGACCAGCGACGGCTTGTACTGCGGCTTCCCATCTGCAGTCCTCTCAAGAGGAAACTCAAGCTCTGTTTTTTTGGTCTGCTCGTTGTACATGGCACACCTTTCAACGAGCTGTCCCTCCACTTGCAGTTTAGCACGATACCTTCGCTCGTGCTCTTTCAGGCTCCTGGGGCGTCTAAGGGGAAGGAAGTCTTTGAAGGACAGGCCAGTACATGCCTGCAGACCGTGCTCCAAGGCCAGCAGCCAGTGTTGGTTCGGACGTCGTGCAGCTGCTGGATCCCCCACAGGCTTTGCTGAAGCATGCTCTTTCCAAGCCACTGCAAGCCACTCGTCCAGTTGCCGTGCGTAGAGTTCTTTCTCCTCTGCAGTTTCCAGGCTGCTTGACAAAGGTTTGGACGCAAAGTCTGGCAGCACCTGGGCGGAGCACCCCTCCCTGCGAAATGAAACAACCCCTAAACCCCACACCCTAAACCCTAAATCCTAAACCCTGAACCTTAAACCCTTCACCCTAAACCCGAATCCAGACATAAATCTTATGCTTCAGGAACTACGTCTTATACCAGGAGCACATGTCTTAGACACGACGACCAGTCTATATAACAAACACCTACTCAACAAATAAAGAAAAAATCGAGTCTCAAAAAGGGCCATGAAATCTTAAACTCGGCTACGCTTGTCTATAACGGGATAAGGGATAGTACTTCGCAGGGGGATTTCAGTGCAGTAAACCCCCCCTCGCCACCGTCATGGAGGACACTTGCCCAGCGGCCTGGGGCGGAAGCCATGCTGCCACTGCGTCCATGGAGCTCGTGACAATACCAGCCACCAGGTCTTGCGCCGGATTGCCCAGACGTTTCGCATCTGCAGTAAGTGTCACACAAGCACCACTCTGAACTATGTCTTGAAAATGCGCGTGGCACTGCTTCAGATAAACGCCTCCGTCCTGGTGGTCCCACTTCCATGCCACGGAGTTGTCGGCAACTTTGTGTGTTTTCGCAAACACACCTGTTGTCAGGTTGTCTTCAGCGGCACGCTTCTGGGCTTCTTTCCGCACATCCTCATCTACACGTCTTCGTTTGTGCTTTGATGGGTCGTTGGTTAAACCCTCGAAGACGTCCAGACTTCCAGCTGCTGGAAGTGCTTCGTCGAGCTTTGCAGCTGTGGATTGAAGCATTGCAGCCAATGCACGCTTCAAAGCTGGACACTCTTCCAAAAATGTGTAGCATGACGTCAAGACTCGTAGGAAAGCACGCCACAGTTCGTCTCCAGCAAGGCCAGACTCCACGTGCGACAAGCACTGCTGCACGTGAGCACAAGGTTTCAGCCCGTCCCTCTGCAAACACACTTGTTGGTAGCTGTTGTCCGCAAGTGGGTTCAACAATTGCCGCACCACCTGTGTCGGGAGCACGGTTCCTAGAAGCCGTCTGAAGAGAAAACAGCAGCATTCCTTCACGGCTCCTGCTCTGGACGATGTGGCCCAATGCAGAAGGAGGCAAAGCATCGGCAGTGTCTTGATGGAGTACTCACCGCGAACGAGATCGGCGTCTGCACTTTGAGACCAAGCACCGTCCTTGGATCCCAAAGCTCTCTTGCTTGGAACAATCCAATTCTCCTCCAAACCCAGGGTTTCACACACGTTTTTCCACTCGCCCTCCGCTTGACGCCAGCTTGTCTTCACAAGCTTGTGTAGCGGAACCTTGCTGTTGCCTTTGCCGCAAGCATCCACGATACGTCGCAGCTCCCACAGCACACCTTGCTCAGCACGATCATAGCACCATGCCTTTAGTGTACACGGAATTTCTTTGCCATCTTGCAGCCGCGCGCAGGTGACAACCACTGGGAAATGGTTTTCCATGCGAAGCGTGTTGCCTCCAGACCATTGCTTTGCAATTCTAGACAAACATAAAACGACGACCCGCCTGCTCTCTCAAACAACTCAGTAGTGTTCTTGGCTTGGGGTTTC